GCCTCAAGGCTCCCAGTTAGGGGCTGAAACCCTGTACTGGAACCAGGTCTCCCAGTTACCACTCTGTAAGTGTGCTTGCTCTGGATACATGGGATTCAAGGCCCGGAAACCTGGAGGGACAATGGAAAGCCTTGCCCTCTATTGCACTCACCCTGGTCCCTCTGTGCCAAGGCCAGCTCCGGCTCTGGGCGAATGGTACTACCCTCTCCATCATGGGCCCTGGCAGGCTGGCCTGGCAGCAGCAGGGTTAGGCGACTGCGGGCCGCCAACTCATTTCCCCACAATGCCACAAAGCGACACTATGTCAGGGTGTCGTGGGAAATTACAGTGGCAGTTAGACACTATCTGCCCTCTGGTGGTGCTCCGGAGTGAAAAAAGCAAATCAAGACACCCCAGGTGCCCATCACAGGCCCCCGCCAAGGGGAGGAGGGGGTCTCAGCAGCTGCCCACCCGGCCCATGGCTGACGGCCACCCTGGCCTCCTCTTCCAGCTGGGTGCCGCCTGCAGGATCTCAAGACTCCCCGGGGAGTCAACATTGCCGGACAGCTCAGTGCGAGAGGTGACCTTGCTTTGTGAGGAATGCAGAGATGGGAAGCACCCTTTCCTGACACCAAAACTACACAAGAGGACAAGACCAAACACAAGAGCCCCCACTCCTTTCTGGCTGCACACATCCATCCGCACGGACACGCAACGTGCCTTCCCGGAGCGCCCACGCAAACTGCCCCGAGCCCTGACCACGAACACAACAGCAACGCCTCACGGGTGCAGCTGCCCCGTCCCTGCGTATCGCACACACTTGCACGCAATGCCGGCACCCCACGCCACCCCCCACCCGCCGCCAGGCACACACTCACCGCCAGGCGTGCATGCCAGCTCACTTGACCGTGCAAAACAACTGTAGCAGCCCGTTTCCCGCAAGCACTGCAGAAACCCGCGAATACCCGTGGCCTCCTCTGAGTATGCACAGCCTTCCCATTAAGAGAAAGAAAAGGACGTCCTACACGCAGTCACGCAAGCCGAACTTGCCGGAGGGCCATCGCGAGCAGACCCTCTCCCGACGCAGCCTCTTTGTCTCGTGCAAATGCGCGGTCACCCGTCACCGCCTCCTCCTCCTCCTCCGCTCAGGGTCCCACGGTCCTTCACAGCAGCGTCCATTACCCACCTGTGCAGGGCTGCGGAAACGCTTGCTCTGCGGTGTATCTTTCCCCCAGGCAAGGAGGAAATGTACTCATTTCTCCTTCCGAGCAGGCGAACCACCTTCTCTCTTACACAAACGCCCGCACAGAGCACGCACCCTGTTCCAGGTGCTCCCTAGCTGGACGAGCACACGCCACCCCCGTGCATGCACACGTATGTAAGTGTCCCGCCCGCTCCCGTGGCAACGGGCACAATGGATCCCAACGCAGGGCGGCTGAGCCCGTCTCGGCGTGCGGGTGCCCGCATCGTGCCATCGGCTGCCCGTTCCGAGCAGACAATAGGGGAAGGCTGCTTCGGAGCCCTTGCGCAAGAGCGACCCCCGTACCCCCCCCACCCCCGCTTTGCCCCAGCCCGGCCCAGCATCCACAGATACAGACCTGCGCGTGGGGCGACTCGGCGCCTAGCTCAGCATCCCATCCAACCGGCCTGGGCGAGGCGAGGCGGGGCGGGGCGAGGCGAGCGGACCGGGCGGACGCCAGCCCAGAGCGGCCGGCGAGGCGAGCGCCAGCGGTGCTGTGCCTGCTGGCTGCCGGGGCAGAGGACGCGGCGCGGCTCCCCGCCGCTCGGCTGCCTCCCCCTCTCTGCGGAGCGCGGGGCGGGCCCAGCCCCCTCATCAATATGCATCAGCGCCGGGCGGCTGCTCCGCCGGGGCGCTCGGGGAAGGGCGCCGGGGCTCCGCGGCCGCGGCCAGCTGCTGCCCGCCCGCCTGCCCGCCTGCGTCGCGCCCCCGCGGCAGCGGCGAGGCGAGGGCGGCGAGAGGGCGTGATCAGCGCGGCCGCGCGAGCAGCGCTGCCTCTTGGCCCCCGGACGAACGGCGGCGCCTCGGCACAAAGGGATCCTCCGAGCGCGGCCCGTGGACGCCCCCGCCGCGAACGGGGCTGCTCCAGGACCCTGGGGCGCGTCCTTCGCGCTGTGGAGCGGGGCAGGATGCTGCCCTTCAGGGCCCGAAGTAGGCTTCCATAGGAACGATTTGGAGAGAACCCTTCTGGAAGGACGGAGCTGTGTCCATTCAGAGGCATTATCACGTTTGCCCCCGGGACAAAACACCTGTAGCTATGGGGTTAACTAGGCACCGATTTCAAGGTGTTTTTTTTTTTTTTTAATGCTGTCTCTCTTGGATTTGGTAGGTCATGCACCATACTTCAATACTATGGACCTTTTATTTAAGCCAATATAATAACTTGAAACAGTGCCCTACAGTCAAGTCTGCCAATAAAGTAATTTAAAGCAGAATACTCTTCTGGAGATGTTGGAGTACAACCACCATTATCCCCATGATCATGCTGGCCGGGGCAGCCCACAACACATCCGGAAAGCACCAAGCTGAGGAAAGCTACCTTGGGAAGTCTTCACGCTCAGCCTTTTTATTTCCCAACTCAGGCCTTGCATGGCTTAATTTCTGCAATAACACTGCTTCTGGATGTTACTGGATCCTCCATTCTGGATGCAAGTAGTTATCATTTTTAGCTCTCTCCGGATCACAAAGTTTTAAAATTAGGAATATTTACCTGCTCATATACCAATTCACTCATGTCTTGAAGTCTTTTTGGAGGCTCTTCACATTTCCTGAACATCTGTGGCAAGGTGGGTGGTGACCAGAGAGATCACCTCCTTGGCATTGGCACCCCGTGGGTGGAATTCCCTCCCGAAGGAGGCCCACATGGTGTGAACACTGTCGCTCTTTTTCACAGAGTAACCAAGGTGTTTCTATTCGCCTCAGGCTTTTCAAGTCATTTCATTGTTCTCCTTTCTTTCTCCACCTTTCATGACACATGGTTCATTTTATTTCACTTGAGCATATTACTTTTGCAATATATTCTAAGGACTTGATGGAAACAAACAGAAATGGCTGATCTCCACCGAGCCATGGTCAATGACACAGAAAAACATTCTATCTGTGGATGCAGACTATGCCAGCAAGCAAAAGGCCCAAGCAGAAAGAACACTTTGTTCCAGGGTCCTCTCTGAGAAACGGAAAAGCAAACAGCAGGAAACCTGGTGGACTATTCAAGACATTTCAGATTGTCTCATTGTGATTGAGACAACCCATCCTATAGCAGGGTATTTCTATCCCACTGTTTAATATCCCATATCCACCACTTCACCATTGGCTTCCAAAGCTTCTGGTACACATACAGCTGCTGTGGACCTTCTAAATTGTCTCAATCTGGTGCAGCTTGGAGACTCTTCCTGCAAACCAAACCACCACTGAGGCTGTATCAGTGGGCCTACATTAGTTTGGTTTTTAAAGCAAGTTCTTTAACTTCCATGTGAAGTCCTCTTCCAATTTCCCCCTTACTTGAAGAATTGTAGGTACTGAACCTTTCTCAGACTGGCCGCCCTCTATGTAATTTGGAGTGTAGTGCACTTTAGCCACAGCTTCAGACAGAATGGGCAATAAGCAGAAATGCTGGGAGTTGTAGTCCAGAATAGCTGGAGGACACAAGATTGGAGAAAGCTGTTGCAAGGTATCCAATGGACTAATGCAAGGATTATCAACTATTTACTGGTCTCCATCTCCTCTTGGTATATAGGGATTCAGTAGTAACCCCACAAGCCTGGCAAAGATTCCATATACTCCCTTCTATTGATGTTCAAGCCAGGCTCTCACTATGACACTAGAAGAAGGTATATTGTTACTTATTAAATGTATAGCCTGTCTTTCCACCAAAAATGGTGCTCAAAGCTAATATTTTTTAAAATATTAGAAGAATTAGAATTGAACATAAAAAAATTAAAAATATAACAAACTTTAAGCACCCAACACAAATCTTTAAAACCTTTCAGAATGAGGCCATCTTCCGTGCCCGCCATCTTCCAGCCTGGCACACCCTCAAAGTGGTTTCTGGGAAGGCCCTTCTCCCTCAGTCTCACCAAGCAGGACTCCTGTGGCCATGCAGCAAAAGCAGCTACCTGTTGGCCTTTACGGCAGTGAATCAAATTACTACTGCTGCCTGGGAATGCCTTTTCCATGGGGTAAGTATCTTCCTTTCTTGTAGGGCAGCATTTCAATGGCAAGGCGATCAAACCGGTCAGTCCTAGAGGAGAGCAACCCTGACTGCTCTTTAGAAGGCCAGATACTGAAGATGAAACTCAAATAGTTTGGCCACCTAATGAGAAGGAAGGACTCCCTGGAGAAGAGCCTGATGCTGGGAACAATAGATGACAAACGGAGAAGGGGACGGCAGAGGATGAGGGGGCTGGGTAGGGTCACTGGGGCGGTGGGTGTGGGCTTGGGTGGACTCTGGGAGATGGTG